GGGGGGGGTATTTAAGTGTCATGTATGATTCTTTTTCCTGTTTGCATCCCCAAAACAGGAAGTGGAACCATTACCAATGCTGATTTTCCAAAGTGCGTGCACATGCTTTTAACGTGTCGGTGTCTGTATGGCTGTATTTCGAAAAAAAATGAAAAAGTGTTTACGTTTGCGAACACGAGCAGAGCCGAGCATCAGGCAACGGCGAGAATATGTTTTTGATGTGCAGTGTGGCGGCTTATCTGCCAGCGAGAGATGTGCGAAGATGATCTCAAGCTGCGGTCTAATCTGAGCCTCACCATCCTTTCCTCCTTTGGAGGAGAGTCCCATTTTGCTTTTGTAGCACCACACTGCAAGCATACGCCACTTGAAGTCAAGTGGCAGGAAACCCCCCTGCCTGCCCATCCACCCAAAAAAGAAACAAAGAAACCCCCTCGTGGCTCCAAATGTGACCCGGGATCATATTTGAAGTGTTTCTCCCACCTGTTGTGTGTAAATAGAATAAATAAGAGAGGTTTTATTGCACATCTTGATGCGTTTGGTCACAGGGTCTGCAAGATGCAGTCTATGGTAACGTGGGATGCCAAATGTACTGTATGTGAGGGAGACGCAGAGGTGGGGGAGGGGAGTTGAAATGTGAATTCAACACTCTATTCATTCTCTTTCTACATCCTCTTTTCTTCCCGAGTTGCTGTCTGCTAAAAAGACAGCAGTGACTGCCGGGAATCTCCGGCCTAATAAGCAGGAAACGATATTCCACTGAGGAAACACACTCTTCTGGTGAAGGCAGAAGCCAAGACAACAAGAAGAAGTCTGAAGGGGGGGAAAGGGTCTTTGTAAAGCATTTATATTAAAGCATCAGTGCATGCAGAGTTAAGTTCTTTGATAATAATGTGAAGATTATATTTGTGCTCTGTGTTTCACTATAGTAGGATTTTCTTTTCTTCTTGTTTTTCTGGCTAATATAAATGAACTGAGGTATGATGAAACATTTATTTTGTACATAATGTTAATTTTTTTTTTTGTATTCATTTTGCGTTCGATTTCATTGGGGGTTATTTTTGCCACCTTTTTTTCCTTCTTCTTTTTTCACGACCTGTGTTTCCGGTTTCTTTCGACGCTGTACAGAATGACGACTCACTTCTATTCAAAGTGTCAAGTCCACATTCTCTCCTCTCTTCTTTGTCGATGTACAGGAGTTGTTTTTAAATGATAAATATAAATAACGATAAACAAATATTAAACTAGCATCGATGAATGACCATTACTATATACAAAGGCACAGGCATTCAGGCAGCCAAAAGCATGATTGCATGGTTAAAATTTGCGCTGTTCAAAGCAAAAAAGCAGCAGACACATTTTAACGGGAGGCGTGTTGCCGTCACAACTTAAAGGAAAAAAGTGTACTCTCTCTCTGATCATAATTCTTGATGATTCCTCTTGTTATTTGATGATATTTATGAGTCTATGATTATTATGATTCTATTTATTATGGACATTATTCTTAATATTAAGCTCTCTCTCTCTCTCTCTCTCTCTCTCTCTCTCTCTCTCTCTCTACTGGTTGCTCTTCATGTTGCGTTGCTCCTTGGTTGATCTTGTGCTTCTCTGGGAGAGGTGAACCCCCCTTGGGAGACCCTGTGCCATAGAAACTGTGCCACGGTTCTGACTTTCTCTGTCTCTTGTTCAATCTCTCTCTCTCTCTTTTCTCTCAGCTTTCTGTTTTGACTCCCCCGGTCACTAACACTGTAAGCATGCCCCATGGGACGATCCACTTTTTTACTCTTGAATAAAATATGCATGAACCTTTGGTATGGATACAGAGCCTTTATTTCCTTGTCACATGTTTCCTTACCAATTAATCACAGACACAAATTGCAATACAAAGGACTAACTCTGATGTTTTCAGAGTTTTTATCAGTTTTTAGCGTTAACTCGGTTTTCCTGGGTCTTTTCCCGTGTGTTTTGAATACATCTTCTTTTTTTTGGTACCGGTACTGGTTTTATTTTGTTGTATTTATCCGCAACACCTTAAAGGCCGGTCCGTTAAAATATTGTCGGACATAAACCAAAGATGTGAAGATATTTCACGTCTCATCCGAGAAGCTTCTTCAGTTCTAGGGTCAAATGGTGGAGAGTCCCATATTTAAGCCCTGTGGGAGTGTGAAAACGAGTGTAAATCACAGAACTGAAGAAGCTTCTCGGATGAGAGGTGAAACGTCTTTAAGCAACTTAAAGAAGTCCAGATGCTTTTCTTTCCAAGCTCCTTAGACAACTAACTCTGATCAGAGCTGCATAGAGTTAGAGCACCTGTTCTGTGGGAAATGTGAAAGATGCCACACAACAGAGACATTTAAAGAGAAGTAGTTTAAGTAGTTAAGATCTGAGCAAAGATCAACTCTTAACATGATATCAAATATACATTCGTTTAAATAAGACCCCCTTTAAACAAGCACTTTGGCGACAGTGGGAAGGAAAAACTCCCTTTTAACAGGAAGAAATCTCCAGCAGAACCAGGCTCAGGGAGGGGCGGGGCCATCTCTTTCAAAAGGTTGGAGGTGATGAGAGGAACAGAGCCAGACATTAATATTGGCTAATGATTAAGAGAGTGGGGCAAAAATACATAGAGAGGTTGGTGAAGAAGAAATCGTCAGTGCATCACAGGAAGCCCCAGCAACCTAGGCCTACAGCAACATAAGGGAGGATTGAGAGTGACCTGATCCAGCCCTAAATATAGGTTTTATCAAAAACAAAGGTATTAAGCCTAATCTTAAAAATTGAGAGGGCATCTTTCTGTTGAATCCAAACTGGGAGTTGGTTTCACAGAAGAGAGGCCTGAAAGCTGAAGGCTCTGCCTCCCATTCTACTTTAGGAACAACAAGTAAGCCTGCAGTCTAAAGTGCTCCACTGGGTGACACAGTACTATGACATCTTTAAGATAAGATGGGGCCTGATTATTCAAGACCTTGTATGTGATGAGAAGGACTCAAAATTTGAATCTAAATTGTACAGGGAGCTGATGAAAAGAAGTTAGTGTGGGAGAAATCTGCTCTCTCTTTCTAGTCCCTGTCAGTACTCTCGCTGCAGCGTTTTGGATCAACTGAAGGCTTTTCCAGGGAGTTTTTAGAACATCCTAATAATAATTCATTACAATAGTCCAGCCTACAAGTAATAAATGCATAAACCAGTTTTTCTGTATCACTCTAAAACAGAATATTTCTAATTTTAGAGACATTGCAACAAAACAACCCTGCATATTTGATTAATATGCACATTGAAGGACAGGATGGTCAAAAAATACCACTGTGTTACTGAAGGTCAGGGTAATGCCATCAATGATGTAAACAGAATTGGTCCTAGCATGGAACCCTGTGGAACGCATAATAAACTGTAGTGTGAAGAGGGCTCTTTATTCACATGAACAAATTGGATATTAGATACATATCATTGCAGTGCAGTGTCTTTAATTCCTTTAATAAAATATTATGTGGTCGTCTGCTGCTTTACATGCTGTGCATTCAGAGATGCTCTCCTGCACAACTTGGTTTAATTGAATGAAATCTAAGTTACTGCATTTTCCCTATTAGCTCAAAGCAGACCATACTCTGGAAACCCTACAGATGGCTGTGTGAGAAAATCCCAGATCAGCAGTTTCTGAAATAGTTGGACCAGCCCATCTGGCAACAACGTCTCAGAAGTCACTTTTCTTCCTCATTCTGATGCTCAGTTTGAACTTCAGAGATCGCCATGACCATGTCTGCATGCGTGAATTAGATTAAAACAAACTTTATTAACCCCTCGGGTGGGTTTCTCCGCATGTTGCAGAGGTAGAATACCAAATAAAGGGGAACGAGAGAGACTGAATATAAGCATAAATATGGCATATATACACTTTTATATAAATACAGAATATATAATAGGGATAAATATGAATACCAGTGAAATATAGTCTATGATGAAATGTAGATTGCACAGGTCTATTGCACATTTCAACTATTGTGAGTCTGTTGCACAGTGATTATTGCACAATAAAAAGCACTACAGCTTAGTTGTTCCCGCCCTCCTTTGTCCTCCTGTTTCCCCTCCCCCTGCCCTCCAGCGAGGAGTTAAATAGTTGGATGGCATGTGGGACAAAGGAGTTTTTAAGTCTGTTGGTCTTAGACTTTGGGAGAAGCAACCTGTCGCTGAACAGACTCTTCTGGTTCCTTATGGCCATATGCAGAGGATGCCCAGCATTGTCCATAAGATATTTGTGCTAAGTAGCAGCTGATCAGTTGTGACAGAAAGCAGCTCACTTTGCTTTAAAGACAGAGAGTGTGAATGAATTGCACACACATATCCGACTAAGAAACTGTTACTGGTAAAGATTACTCCTGCTTAAAATGTCTAGTAATTTATGTTTAGGCCACATCCGAACTGAAACTCTCCCAAATGCAAATTTAATTAAATAAAAATTTGCATATGAGCAGAGTTTCCAGCATGCACTGTGCAGCAGTTAAACTCTTCGATGCGTCTTACACAGCACTCTTTGTTCTTCTTTCAGTTTTATGATTCTGTATGACAAAATTCACTAATACCATCAAAAGTATTTCCACATCTCTGTAGCTAATCATACATTTATGATACACGTTTACATGCTTCCTGTTTGTAAAGAGAAGTGATTCCCAACCACTGGTCTGTGAAAACCCCTTTTCATTTTTAACGTTGTTACCCTAAACCCTTTGAAGATGAATGTGGCCATTCTTGTGAAAAAGTAGAGTGCAAAGTTACCAGCTAAAGACAGGAAGTCAGCAAAGTGCACCCATACACTTACACAGACACCAGCTGATCAAGTCTAATTAACACACAAATAAAACACTTGAATTTCCTTCCTCAAAGCTCAAACATCACGGAAAGATTAGTTAGTAGAGTTAGCTGCTTACAAAGTCCCACAATATATTAAAAATATCATATTCTACTAAAAAATGCACCAACACCACACGCTGTATCACAACGAGTACGCCAAGCCGAAGAGCATTAAAGACAATCAGTTCCAATTTACTGGGAATAACCAAAGTAAAGCACCCAACTAACCAAGCCATGCTGACTATGACTCTGCTTTAGGAAGAAGAGCAATATAATATGCACTGGTTTAAAAGAAAGAACCAACGGACATTAAAAAGCAAAGCAAGACTTTTTTTGATCCCACAGCAGGAAAATTTGTGCGTTACCACAGCTCAGGTACAGATAGCAGGATGAGCACTTCAGTACTCATCTACAAGTACTTTATAGGAAGTGACAGCAAACAGTGATAACAGCAACCACTGTGTGCAGCATGCTTGCCTTGTTGGACTAATGAAGGTAAATCAATTCAGTTCAATTCAATGCTGTTGCAACATTTGAGTCATATAAAATGCTTCCAAGCTTTGAGACTTTTATGGACTAAATAGGGGTTAATGTTCACACATTCAGTTCAAGCTCAAGTTACCTCTCCCTCCCTCTCTCTCATGTATACGGTAGGTCTTTGCTTCACCCTCCCAGCAGCTGAACGAAGGAAACACAATGAAAGTTTTATTGGTGCAGAGCCAGAACTTCCTTGAGCGTATTAGCTCTCTACCCATCTCTATTTTTTCACTTTCTCTCTCTCTTTCTTTGCCACTCACTCTTTACCTCTCTTTTACTGTGGTAGTGAGAATATTTACGTGAAATGAAACCTGAAATTCCTGTTATAGCATGAGGGGTGGAGACAGAGAGAGAGGAGAGGCACAAATAGAGCAGACAGAGGAAATCTCTCCAGTCTGGATCACAGCAGGCACATCAAGGTGAGTCCCTTCATCTGCATCTTTATCTCTGTTGTAGTTTTATAACGTACTAACAGACAAACTGCACTCTGTTACTTACCACAGCTGTCTTCAGTGTTCACACTGCAATGAAACGTGATTACCGACACGTGTAACGTTAAAGTAAAAGGCTGCAGCTTCTGTTTAGAGGGACTACATCAAATCAGCCAGCTAGCGGGCATATTAAGTGTACCTCATTGTGCTTTAACACTCTTCAGTAAGATTTTAAAATCTTACTGCTGGCTTTTAAGGTTTTAAATGGCACTGCACCTTCTTACCTGTCAGAACTCCTTAGTACTTATCGCCCCAGGAGATCTTTGAGGTCAGCCGACCTGATGCTTTTAGATGTTCCCAGGTATAAATTAAAGACAAAGGGAGAGAGGGCGTTTGCTGTGGCTGCACCCAGACTGTGGAACAGCTTACCTCCTCACGTCAGACTCTCCAAAAGCCTAGAAACTTTTAAAACCGCTCTTAAAACTCACCTCTTTTCATTGGCTTTTAGAAAGGTTTAATTTATTTGTTTTATTTATTTTTATTTTCTTTTTATCAGCGAGGTGTTACTACGAAATCGTGTTTTATTGTATTTTTATCTGTATTTACTGTACAGCACTTTGGTCAGCCTTGGTTGTTTTTAAATGTGCTCTATAAATAAGCTATCTCTATCTTTTCCTTCCTGACAGATGCAGTGTCCTCGAGAACAGGATGCTCTAATCCCTCGGCCCCGTGGGGATTTACCTAAACTCTGTGCTGCGGTTACAGCTGCCGTAACTATAGGAGGCATGTTTTTATTCTCTCCTGAGAAGTTGCTTGGCTGGATTGCCATGGCAGTACTCATGCTGACTGGTGGCCCTTTGCTACATGGGCTCTGTCTGCTGGCAGAGGAGCTGATATATCATTCAAACACAAGGTGAGAGGAAAGGTGTTGTAATACATTAACTGTATATGAAAGATGGCAGTAGCTCCATAACATTACTGTTAGCCTCAAGTGGCCACTGAAGGAACTGCAGTTTTTGACTTTGCTTCATTTTCAGCGTCAGAAGTTACAATTGTTACAACTGATTAAAGCAGTTTAAAACCATTCAGTATGCTTACTATCACTATATATAAAACAAGAGGCTTGGATCACAGTAACAACTTAGTATCTCCGAGTTCATTGATTTATTTCCACAAGCTGAGACTTTACTGTTCGTGAGTACTGTGTCACTTCTTAGGATGATTTTTAGTAAAGATATTTCTTTCCACAACTGGTGGAGCTTAAAACTGACAAAAAACATGTTTGCTGCCAAATTATTGTTAGAGATACCGAGACAGCTTTTTTAAAGTAATAATTACTCTGTATAGCAGCAACACGTGTTAACGGGGCCAAAATTTGCCCTTCTTCCTTCCATGTTCTGACCAGATATCGAGGACAAGGGATGCTAAGCCACATGCTCCCTGCCTGTGGTTTGGGGGGCAAGACCCTGCTCACTGCTGGTGTGGCAAGCCTAATGCTGTACCTGGCTGGACATCATCTACCACACAAATGCAACATCTGGGAACTCCTTGTCCTTGTGTTTGTCCTTTACCCACTGTTGAAAGTCTCTGGAGTCCTGGTGAGGTTACAGACACATCTTCATTGCACATCACTGTCTTTCTCTTACAGGGCTTTCAGCCTTTACTAATTATTAAGTATATTATGACAAATATAAAACTGTCACCAAAATGTGAAGAAGAACCACCATGAATTCATGTCTAAAACAAGTATTTTGTTGAAGCAATATCAATTAAAGCAATGTGTTTGTGTAATACCGAAATTTACCACAAGATGGTGCAGTTTTTGAACAAACAAGGGTGAGGCGCAGAGCTGTAATTACACAGGGATAGAATTGATGAGGCGATGGGAAAGCTAGGTTAAGAAGAGAGGTGACAATCAGCGAGCAGCAGTACAGCTTATACAGACTGAAAGTGTGGAAGACGTCAGGAGTGGGTGGTGACGTGTGGTGAGGTGTGGGGCAGGAATGGTAGATGGGTTCTAGGTTGGGAGCTGGGATTTTATTAGTTATTGGCTCTGAGCCCCTTCTTGTTTGCAGTGGTGATGGACAGGTTGAGAGACGAGGTTAGGCAGGAGTTTCTGTGGACTGTGAGGTTTAAACATATTACTGGTCTAGAGTGGGAGGCAGGTGGAAGAGAACCTACTGAGGTGGAGGTGTGCACTGGAGAGAAGATGACTGAAAAGAAAAAACAGAGTAAAGGAGTTTAAATACTTGAGGTTAGAAAGAAAACCGTCTGGACTTCTTTAAGTTGCTTGAAGATGTTTATCCTCTCATCCAAGAAGCTTCCTCAGTTCTAAGGTCAAATGTTGGGGAGTCCCAGATTTAGGCTATGTCCACACTAATACGTTTTCATTTGAAAATGCATCGTCTTCTTCCGTTTTGGCCTCCCATCCACACATTGTCGTTCAAGGAAAACATTTTGAAAACTCTCTCCTAAGCAGATACATTTGAAAACGCCGTTTTCGCGTCGCAGTGTAGACAGCGATGAAAACGATGACACATTTTAGTCATGTGATGCAGTCATGTGACCAATTGAACAAAGATTGCGGAGGGCATTATACAGCGTTTGTTTTGTTGCCCTATTAAAGATTCATATCAGTCTGTACATGCTCCAGATAGCTTTTCTTCAAATTCTTTAATTCTCACTCGCTTTTGCAACTTTGTACTTTTGTGTAACTCGCAGCAACAACTCCACCTCATTGTTATTCCATTTAAAAAACTCTGTGCTTTTCCTCGACATTTTGCCGCGACGTTTCAGAGAGCCGGAAAGTAAATAAGCAGCACACAGAAATGAGGCAGGTTTCTCTTCTTGTGCTTCACACATGCGCAGTACTAAAACATAAGCATTTTCGTCCGTTTCAATGTGGACGCACAACTCTGTGAAAATGACTGAAAACGATAGTGTGGACGCGGAGCGTTTTCAGGCGAAAATGCCGTTTTCAAATTTATCCGGGCTAGTGTGGACGTAGCCTTAAGCCCTGTGGGAGTGTCCCCCCCCCCCCCCCAAGAGGGACAAAGGACCCCCTAATGATCCTCTACTAAAATCACACGAGCCAAGGTGTGAAAACGGTTGTAGATCACAATCAGCCAAGGTTTCAGGTGAACTCATTGTGAAACCTGGCCCAGGATGTGAGTGGGCATTAAGGTGTCTGGGAAGGGATCTCAAAACTGGATTATAGATGGCAGACAGTTGGTGTCGTAAACCACGCCTCTGTTCAAAGAGGCTCGTTCATAGGACATAGTCATAGAAATCATAGTGGACATAGATGTTGCTGCTGTTCACATCATGTAGAAATAAAGCAACACTTGGGACATCCCAAAAAGACGCTGAACAAGTGGAACATCTGGGAATGGAAAATCAAGAAAAAGTCGTAAACAGGCTGCAACACAAATACAGAAGCACAACTCTTTACCACATTAACATGTCGAGGAAGTTGAGGATGCACTACACAAGTGCTGCTACCTCATTTCAAATGTTGTTCACACAGCACTCCTCAGTAAAGTAATTCATCCTTCCAAAGAAATCTAGTTCTCATGATGATGAATGTTCTCTCCTCTTGATCCAGCTGCCACTGTTGCACCCAGAGCAAACTTACATTGCACACAGTCATTAATTAGCAGCACTTCTGGAAAGTCCACCAGCCTGTCTATACTAGAAGACTTTCACTATGAACATAAACACGGAGCTACAGGCAGGTCTGCACAACCAGTCGGGTTAGTTGAAGGGCTCTCGACTCGCCATGCTCAACAGTGCATGCAATCGTCCCAGCAGCAGTCTGTCTTTACATGCACTCAGACAGTGTGGGATCTCAAACATAAACTACCAGTCCCAAGTTTCGACACACCTTCTCATTTGATGCTTTTTCTTTATTTTCGTGACTCTTTACGTTGTACATTCTCACTGAAGGCATCAAAACTATGAATGAGCACATAAGGAATTATGTAGTAAACTTCTGCTTGTTGCTTTTCCTTAGTCATGGTTTCTTAGCAGCTATTTGACCATAAAGTCTCCTCTGAACAGTTGATGTAGAGATGTGTCTCCTACTGGAGCTCTGTGCGGCATTTATCTGGGCTTTAATCTGAGGCAGTGTTAACTTGAGATTTCTGAGGCTGGTGACTCGGATGAATTTATCCTCTTGGTCACTTGTTCTTCCTTTCCTGGGGTGGTCCAGTTTCATCATAGTGCTTGATGGTTTTTGCGACTGCACTTGGGGACACATTCAAAGTTTTAGCAATTTTCCGGACTGACTGACCTCCAGTCCTTAAAGTAATGATAGACTGTTGTTTCTCTTTACTTAGCTGGTTGGTTCTTAGTTCTAACTACTGTTAGAACTCATAATATGAACTCTAACAGTTGTCAAATAGGGCTGTCAGATGTGTACCAGCCTGACTTCTGCAGAACACACCTGATGGTCCCAACCCCATCAAGAAGGCAAGAAATTCCACAAATGGACCCTCACAAGGTGCACATGTGAAGTGAAAACCATTTTGGGTGAATACATCATGAAGCTCATTGAGAGAAGGCCAAACGTTTGCAGCGCTGTCAACAAAGCAAAGGGTGGCTACTTTCCAATTTTGTTGTAGTATTGTACTATGAATGAGCAATGATAATAAAGAGTTATCTTAACTTAAATACTTTCAGGAGAATTATCAATAATTCTTCTCTTTGCTACATATATCAATATATCTTGTTTCATATATTTGATGTCTTCAGTTTGTATCTACAATGTAGAAAGTAGTAAAGACAAAGAAAAACCATTAAATGAGAAAGTGTGTCCAAACGTTTGACTGGCAGTGTATTTGATTACGTTTTAGTAGTTAAAGCCTTTACTGAGGAGAATTCACCACCCTGACAATTTGATCTCAGTCAGAGCTCGGTGTGTGTTTGTGGCTCACAAAAAAAACCAGCTTCAAAGGACTACACTACAGAAAGACCAGTCCCTCCCCGGGGCTTTACCTGATTAAAACTGAAATGGCATTTCTTGAGTAAAAATAGACTCTAAACATGTCTTCATTAGCAACAATGACCACTGTGTTTTGCACAGATCTCTTTTGGTCCAGCTGACTGTGTCCCTCATGCTGAATTCAACCTAAAAATATATTTGTTCCACATGGAAAAGGGCAGCTTGGGTGAGAGGATGCCCTTTTCTTTCGCCTGGCACCTTCAGCAGGGTGTCAGGTGGCTCCTGAGCATAGGTGAAGTGTTGTAACATTGTTGCGGCTGTTTCTGTGGTTGGCATGCAGGGTCCGTCGGCGGTGGAGGTGTCAGACATCTGCGAGGGGAGGAAGAAGAACGTAGCCCACGGCCTTGCCTGGTCCTTCTACCTGGGATACCTGCGACTGGTGCTGCCACGTCAGTAACATGACAACATCTACAAACAAATCACGTTTTGCCCTCATGTGCTGTTAAATTCAGTGTGTGTCCATGTGTGCAGAGGTTTCTCCCTGTTAAAAGGGAGTTTTTCCTTCCCACTGTCGCCAAAGAGGTTGCTCTAAAGGGGTCACGTGAATGTTGGGGATTTCTCCATTTTCTCTGTCTCCAGCTTACAATATAAAGAGCCTTGAGGCAACTGTTGTTGTGATTTATATAAATACAAGTGAATTGATTTAAATAAATTTATTAACCAGTTCAAGTTGAATCTATTAAGCTGCTAGACTCTGCCGTCTGTTCTTTTTGGCTCACAGGGTCACATTGCTACACTTTCTTCTCTATTCTAGAGATGGAGGATGAATGTGAATGAAGAGATCTGTTTCTGTGTTTGCGTGTCTATTCAGATTTGGAGCAGTCCATCGCAGGGTTTTGTGCCACACACCAGTTAAACAACACCAGTTGGGGTCGTGGCTCCAGGAAGCTCCTCATCCTCATCCCTCTCAATGCCAACATTTCCCATAAGCTGGAGGACGAGGATGAAAACATCCAATTCTATGACAACCTACCAAACAACGAGATTGACAGGGCAGGAGTCCGGGGGCGGGTCTACAAGCACAGTGTGTACCGCATAATGGATGAGAATAGGAAGGTATGCAAGCATAAAGTAACCCAGGCATAGTTTTGTTTGTTTTTTTACTTGATTAATGTGCGTCCGACTGGACTGAAGTCCATATTAAAAATGTTTGGTCAGTATTAAACAGCTGTAAACATCTCGTGCAGGAAATGAACTCAGCATCGGGGTTTTTTGCTGCAAGTGTGGGTTGAAAGACTCATGCTCATATTTTTCTCCTTTGATCAGATTTGCAAAGATTGCACAGTTTAAATACGACAGACAGTGAGAGTCACAGCAAAGTGACAGACTCAAGGGCCTTTATCTCATAATTTGCTTCAGTATCTTAGAGAACATCAGCGTGCTGTGTATCCAACGTGTTTGATGCAAATCTAACACTGACTGTACTCAAAAGCAATAGTTCAGTCAAAAGAAAGGAAGTTTGGGGCGACATGAAAGCATTTGGGGATTCATTTAGGGCTAAAAATAGCCACAGATAGCTCAAAGTGAATGGCTTTAATTTACTGCTGCAGACATTACATGGAATCATGTTATTTTTACATATATATGCATATATATTCAGTTTAGTGCATATTTAATATTCAAATAAACGTAAACTTGCAGGATGTGTTTGGTGTATGCTTTTATGAGTGCGAAGGGATCCGTGCTGCGAACCGTCCATGCTGAGTGGCCAAGCGCTAAAGTTGCTCTTTATGTTACTTTTGCTGTAGCTTTAACATCATGATCTTCCTCAGTGAAGCCAGGAAATCCTAACACCTTTACACTGTCTGCTGAGCTGATCTGATCATTGTGACATTATTTCACTGAATATTTATTTCTGGATTACGACATACTATAAAACAGACTCCTTATCATCTGATATTTCTTATACTTTGAAATAAAGAAGTAAATTAATCTACCTCACCTTTGACTATTTCCCTTCAATAGCACAGCATTGGTACGACCTCCTGGTTAAACCAAAGAATCCACCGGTGGAGAGCTAGTTTGTGAAAGCGTAGTAACAGCACCATCTAGCTGTAAAACACGAGAATCAAACATATCTGAGAGGAGAGTGCTGCAAGCTTTTAAAGGATTATCTGTCCGGGAAATATATCTTTCCCTGAGTGTCTGTTTTTTGTTCATGTCTATGTGTGTTTGTGTGTCAACAGGTCCATGAGTGTGTGGTGGAGTATGCGACGCCTCTGCTGACGCTGTACAACATGTCCCAGGAGAGCAGCGCTGGTTTTGGGGAGCCTGAGCGCAGACAGCAGGTTCTGCTCTTCTTCAGGACCCTGCAGGACATCCTGGAGCATTCGCTGGAGTGTCGCAACCGCTACAAGCTCATCCTGCTCAATGGTAGTGTGTGTGTGTGTGTGTGAGAGAGAGAGAGAGAGAGAGGGACAGACTTTGTACTCCCAGCATGACACAGGCTGCTTTTAGGAGGATTTTAGCTTTCAGCTTATCCACTTTCCCACAAAGATGTTGTGGCTGTTTTTAAAGGGGTTTTGTTGCTACACTGGAGTCTAAATGTGACACAGTATGAAGCTGAAATGAAATATGTAGGTCAGAGGATCAGTTTCAACTCTGGCCTCATGTGAACTCATATTTATCTTTCACTGTGTAGTTCTTCGATTGTTATAAAGCTGAAAACATGGAATTAACAACCAGATAATCTTCTTCTTCGTCTTCATCATTTTCTAGATGAGCAGGAGGATGACCCTCACTTCCTGTCCAAGGCCATCCTCAGACACTTGGAGCAGCAGGAGAGAGAGGAGTTCTGTCTTACACCAAATCCTCAGCAAGAGAGGGCACACCCATTTGTGGGCAATGCACATTCTAATAACGGTGATGTGATGAGCAGAGACCCCACGCTCATGATCAGCCTGGAGCAACCTCAGCCTCTGAGGGTACCCACGGAGGACACTTACTAAGTCAGCAGACAAAGATGAAGACCAGCGCTATGGAGGACCAGAAGGGCCACGTGCATCAAAATAAAGAATTTTGTGCTTCAATAATAAATTTGTCCAAATAATATGCATTTTACATTTAATTTTTTAATTATTTTAGTAATTTTAAAATTACTAAAATAATTTATTATTCAATCATTTCATTTAAAATAAAAACACTATTTATAAATCATTATTTCAAAATCCCAAATCTAATCTATTTGCTAATAAAATAGCGAATTCACGAGCTAACAGGAACGGGAAAAATGCAGGAAATGGAAAATGTCAGAAATAAATCTGTCTTATTTAAATTGCATTTTAAAATTCTCTTTTTTAATGTGGAAATTGAAAACGGTTTTTGAAATGAGTTTTTTATTGGGAGTTTTTATTAAGTATTTATTAAAGGATTCATTTTGAAATATTGATTTTTATTTTATATCTCCAAAAGTTGATTCTGTTCATCTGGACGTAGCGTTTTGTGGGAGAAACATTTCGTCACTCATCCAAGTGACTTCTTCAGTCTCAGCTGACTGCAGGTTTCCACAATCTTATAAACAGTACATTTGCATAATGACTGAAACCAGCCCACTGAGGGAACTTTGGAGGCTTTGGAGTTGACGTCACGCCGCAATGCATTGTGGGAGCGCGGCACCATTTTCGGGGTCTACGAATCAAAACAAACACAGTGTGTTGGAACGACGATTACAAGACGAGGCGAAGCAGCTGTACTTGCAGAAAATAGCGTGCATTGGAAATGTGGACCCGTATGAAATACAGCCGTGGAGTAGAAACCCTGAAGACCAACCGCTACTGACGTAGCCTGACATATTTCATACCTTATCTGTGGAATCAGCGCGTACAAGTCGTCATTCAAACAAAGGTAAGTCAGCTCGAGTACTGCGAGTGAAATGCGTTTGATTTCCCTGCAAACAGTCAGATTAGTGCAGCATAAATTCATTCATGAGGGGAAATTACAGTGAGAACATGTGGAGGCTGTTAGGTGCAGTGAGTTCAGTGCATTGATGTGACATTGTCCTGAAGGATTTAGTTATTCTCTATGGTTAAAGAAATTGCAATGATTTATTAATGTTTATTATAAATAATTCTAATTATACATCTTGCTTCCATATTTGTATCTTGTGTCACTAAAAATACATTTTATTTTAATTTTATACTTTGATCAATGACCTGCAGAATCTCCTTATCATATTAAGTGATTCGTAATTGTCACTTTATGCTTTCTCCATCTTGAAAGTGATGACATCCTTGCATTACTTTAGGTTCATTTTCTGCAGGCAGGTTTCTGACAGATCAGGCAGATTTACACTATAACCTGCAGCGTTCTATAGATGGACACATAAAGAAATGAAAAATTACATGTATGTGCTGACTTTCTAGACACTTTGTTACATTTATGATAAAGTAGATAAAACACATTTACGTCGGCCATAGCTCGTTAGTTCTTGTCTTTAAATGAAATTTGTCTGTGTGTGTTTCAGGTCCTGCACTCTCAAAGACTGAATGAACCAGCATTGCAGCAACAGGTCATTGTGAGCATCACAGGGAAGGTTGAAGCCGCCCACCGCACCTGTATGGCCGGAGTCGCAGAGACCTGCAGCCATGTCGCTGCTCTTCTGTTTAATGTAGAAGCAACAGTGTTGATCTGTGGCACAAGGACTGTTACAGATGAACCTGCATACTGGGTTTTGCCGGGTAATATGACCAAGATACAGCCAGAGGTTGGCCATAAGATAGACTTCTCCTCTTCAGCTGCCCCAAAAAAGGCTCTTGATCAAAACATAAACAGACCATCTGTAGTGACAGGTAAAAGGAGCCGTCCTCAAAACAGAAAAATCCCACCTGCTACTGTGGAGGAGTTGTCACTGCTATAATGCTTAATGTTTTATCTAGGGGTCTAGATTTATGCCTGTTGTGCACTGCCGTGTAAATAATTTGCATTTACTGAAGATGTACTGACTGAGTCCCACTGTTCAAAAGTTGAATAAAGAAAAACTAATTTTTGCCTCTTTTTTTATTAAAACCACCTTATAGAACATCACACCAGTTACAGTGTAGAATCCATGTCATTTATAGTTTACAAATGACAAAATGTTTACACAAAATCATGACAGTGTTTACATGATATCACCCACTACTAACATTACTTTATTTACTGTATCTTTTGAAAAAATATACCACTATTTATACAGCAAAAGACTTAAGAATATTTAACAGGAGCAGGTTTCATTCTTCTCTGGTTTTATTATCACACTGTTCACCAAACGCAGCAAACCTTCATCTTATCCAGGAGGGTCACCTCTTCACCCTCACATGGAAGAAGTAATCTGATTGGCATGGTGGTG